TAAAGAGGAAAGATTTATATGTTATATAAATAACTTAAAAAGTACTGGGCAAATTGAAAAATTTTTTTACCATTAAAAAGCTACGTTATCAATGAGCAACATAGGCTACATCTTTATATTTTTAAGGGGACGAAGTCGCGAGCAACAGCTAGTTAGAACTGAAAGACTACCTTCTTATAGTGTCTCTTCAATGCTGAAGGTTGACCGATATCTATGAATTATTTTCGATTAATTGTGGAACGAAACAAATCCTTGGAAGTTTCCACTCTCTTATCTTATTTGGTAGCGGTTAAGAAAATGTTAATAGGAATTATTAAGGATTAGCTTTCGCCCGCGACTCCGTCCGCGTGTTATTAAAAAAAAACAAAAGTAAGTAGCCTATGTTTTTCCAGACTGTCTTCTACAACTATGACAAATTTGATCAAGATTCGCTCATTTCAGGCTACAAACTAACAAACATCCATACATCTATACTTTTGCATTTATATTAGTAAGATTTGAGATTTTTTAATTTAAATAAAAAATGTTACCATGCTCTGCCTTCTGACGTCCTTCTTCAGATCTCGCAATTTTTCTTTATTCTTTCGTTGCAAAAAACCGCACTGAAAAAATACTCATTTCGTACTTTGGTAGTGAACAATAAAATTGTTGCATTGAGTAATATGTTAAAACATTACTTATTGTACTTGAAAAGTATTCTAAAGTTTTATTAGTACAAGCTAATCACATATAGTTAAAAATTATAAACATACTTACTTCGTAAAATATAATTATTAGAATAACTAAGACGAGAATGGCAACGACGCCGGCGACCAGGTATATCCAGAGAGAAATGTGGGGCATTTCTACTATCACCAGCGTACTCAGTGCACTGAAATCATGTTTTACTCACTCGAATTAATATTATTAATAACATAAATGTGAAGGTTTAGATGGATGGATGTTTGTTAGAGTTTGTAGCGTAAACTGCTGAACGGATTTAGATGCTTCCATAAGAACTCGATCGAAGTATTATTTGTAACTACCTTTCGCCCGCGACTCCGTCCGCGTGGGCTTAAAAAAACAAAAGTGAGTAGCATATATGTTGTGACAGACTATCCTCTACATCTATGCCAAATTTCATCGATATCCTTACAGCAGTGTAGGCTACAAACTCTAACAAACATCCATTCATCGAAACTTTCTCAATTTTAATATTAGTAAGAAGTAAGGTTGTTATCAAATTCCTTTAACTTCTTAAGAAAGTTAACTATTTTATTGGTATCATTTTGTTATTCTCAATCTCTAGTTATTATTAAGTTCTTAAGTTAGTATTAAGTCCGTTAAGTAAACGGAAATGTTAACTGAAGTTGTTCATAAACCTTGTGTTTTGTTTGCTATGACTTTCAAATATTCATGTTAACTTACCTAACGGTTTTAATTACTTCATTTTCAATTAAATTGAGCTGCGTCATAATGCTGATGTTTTTAAGTTCCTCTGAAAAAACACCCAAAGATATATTTATAAACAAGTCATATAACAATCTATACGTATACTAATATTATGAAGAGGAAAGATTTGTATTTTTGTACGTATTGAAATAACTCAAAAACTACTGAGCCAATTTCAAAAATTTACCATTAAAATGCTATTTTATCAGTGTGTAATATAGGCTATATTTTTTAATTTCACGCGGACATAGTCACGAGCAACAGCTAGTAGGTAATAAAGTAACATTTTGTTACAAAGATTTTAATAGAAAAAGTTGAAATGAATATAAAAGAAAATGCAACGTTTTCAATTTTACTTTAAAAAACATTTTTTTTCTAACTTTCAGAAACTTCCAATAAAAAAAAACCTTTGTAAAACTATTGAAATAACACCAAGTCTACAAAATTATAATATAATTAACATAACTATAAATTTTTTTCTTACCATTTGGTATTGGTGGTATTCTCAAATTGACCATTATGTATATTTTTTGGTTTTTCGTAATTTTGTCGATCGCACAACGTGATTGTAAATCAGGGTAACATGTCACATTGCGTTTGTCAGTGTAAATCTAATAACGGAAATAAATTGAATTGTCAGCCAAAAATGTTTAAACAAAATAATATACTACATAGAAAATAATAATGATTAGGAGCGTCGGTGGCTCAGGGTGTAAACACTTGATTTGTAAACAGGTCCTAGGTTCGAATCCCGTCATGTACCAACGTGATTTTCTAATTCTATATGTACACAATTAACCGACACTCTTATGTTGAAGGAAAACATCGTGATGCCTACACATATCGGTAAAGAAATTCAAAGATATGTGTGAAGTCAACACGCAGTGGGACAGCGTGGTTGACTAAGGCCTAGTCACCCCTAACTTAAGGTAGGCTCCGAGCCCCTCAGTAGGAGAGTTTAAGATACAAAAAACAATACTTACTATTATTGGTTTCTTGATTTCCGCATATTTACTGTCTAGTATTATTTCACTTTTCATATTTAACCAGTTTGTAGAACCTTTGTTTGTAATCTATCGAATTAAAAAATACAATAACTTGGTTATTTTTTGCAATAAACTAAATAAATAAGGGTTTAACCTACACCTAGTGGTAGTATTTGTACATACCGTGTAAAAATGACTGATTTCTGTATCCAAATTAACTTGTGAAATATTAACAATATCGCCTGGTATTGCTTCACTGAAAATGACACAAGAATGTCAAATATTTTTATTAATATCTCTTCGTTTGCACTCATTATCTAATTATTTGTAGGAAAAGGCGGAATTTGTCTCGGTGCAATGAACAAGACAATTTTTCCCGAAGTGAAACACCGCGGAACTCCGCGACTGTACCAACATACACTGATATTTGTCAGATAAAAGAATTATTAGAAGTCTAATTTCTTTTCCTTTTCATTGATATTACCAAAACTAGTTACTAAAGAAGCTATATATAGTGTGTCTAAATAATTTAGATTAGTTTGACAGTTCATTTCAAATTTAGTAGGGATGGGTTGTATAATCAGTCAGGAATTTTATCGATTTTCGTTCGTAATCGAATTGGATTTCGCTATTATTTCTGTCATCGCTAAATTCTCTACACTATAATCAATACTAGAATTGTCCTCTAAATAAGTATATAAGAAATTAATAATTTTAGAAGAGTTTGATAATTATTTAAACCGAATATCGATAGTTCAAAATTGTTCGCTATGCGTGTTTGTTACGTCACTACGATACCTGTCTATTAAGTATGGCATTTGCCTTCATACAAATTGAATTCGATACTTCATATGCGTCATTTATCAAACTAACCTATCTTATTTAGACACACTTTAATATAAATGAAGTTGAAAATTAAATGAGAAACGCTTTAATAACACTTCTGGCAGTTTGTATAAAATACGTGACCTTTAACTATTGTTTTAAAACAAGCATTTTCTTTACCTTGTCAAAATTAAATTTGTAAGATCATTTTGTAATTCAATAACCAATTCCTCTGTTATTTTATCAGTTTCGTTTTCGCAGTGGTTGTACGTGTTTATAGTGATGTTAATGCGTTTATCTCGATTTGTCAAGTATTTCGTTTCGAGAATAATTTTTTGAACATTCTGAAAAAAATACACAGTGTCTTTTATTATTACCACGTTTTTACATTAGTTTATCATCGGAGTTTTATTTCGATTTTTTGATGTAAAGAATTTTCAAGTCTACCATCTGCTCTTTTCTTTGCACAGGTTGTACAGAATGGAGTCGTATAATTCAATCATGATATCATCTTTCATAAAATTACATTTCTTTAATAATATTCGAGTATTTCCAAGAAAATACCTGTGTCGTTATTTTAACTTGACCTTTCTATTGTTACAAGAAGCGAGAGTACTTGAGAGTATGAATAGAGCTTTTTCAGTCACCTTTTTGTATAAGTAATATTTTAGTTTTCGTACAAAGTCGACAACGGTTGACTTTTAGATTTGCAATCAAGAGGTTAACACGTTTATTCAATTAATTTGTAAAAGTTGACTCTAACAAAACTGTTAGGTAAATAACTTATAAATAGAATTGGTAAGACAATACTAAAATACAATGAAATATCTCCTTTCGTATGTCGTTTTGTGTACTTTTGATACATCATACTTATATTATAAATGCGAAAATTTAAATGGATGGATGTTTGTTAGTTTATAGCCTAAACAGCTGAACGGATTTCGATCAAATTTGGTATAGATGTAGAGGATAGTCTAGAATAACACAGACTTGTTTTTTTTCCATGCGGACGGAGTCGCGGACGAAAACTAGTCAACCATAAAAAATTACCCAAGTCTCGTTTTGCTTGATCGGAGTCATAGGCTCGCAGATTAAGGTATGTTGTTGTCGCGTGCAGGCGGGGGCGAGCAGCACGCGCGCGGCGTCGACGTGAACGCGCAAACACGCATTATACGCAGTCTCTCCCGAGTTGCTCATACTCAAACTGATACTTTCCGTGTCCGTGGAACCCACTGTATAAGGCGACCTAAAGATTGTGATGAATTGAGATAACGTTAAAATCGCGCACGCCTTGGATAAAACTATCGCACAACTGTTTAGTTTCGTTTAGATTACTATGTGCAACTAAATCGTTGGATTGGCTGCGAAACAATCGACAGTCGCACAATAGTTGTGCGATAATTAAGTCAAAAGTGTGCTCCTGCTCTTAGAGTAAAGATATTTTTAAAGTGGCAAGGATCATACTCGGTTGACTATAAAAGTTTGTTAGATTCTGTATACAGAAAAGACGGCAAATACAAGATGAACGAATAGATTAGTAGTGTAAATGAAGGCCTCAAATATTGGCTATTTTTAGGAAATCTGAACAAGGAGGTAATTCACTGATTGTTAAAACATAAGTGATACTTACGTGAATGTGGTAGAAGCTAAGGTTGTGATATTTGGTACACAGTAAGAGAAGTTGCAATCGGAGACGCGACGCGTGTCGCGCGCGAAGAGGAGGCTGTGCGCGGCGACCACAGCGCGGTTCGCGTCGAAACTCTCAGACCGAGTCGGATCATTTGCCAGTTCAGCTTTAATCGACATTTGTATTGGATACAGCTCAGTATTTTTGTCCTGAATTAAAATAACAATATATTTAATTACTAAATGTATATCTATATCTATACTAATATGTAAAGAGGTAAGATTTGTATTTTTGTATAAATTGGAATAACTAAAAAACTATTGGTTCGATTACAAATATTCTTTCAACCTTAAAAAGCTAAGTTATCAGTGTGTAAACATAGGCTATATAATATGTAGCTTTTTAATCTCACGCGGGTAAAGTCAAGATAATATTATGAAGAGAAAATCCTATTGGGCCGATTTCAAAAATTCTTTCACCGTTAGAAACATCGTTAGTTATCTGTGAGTAACATAGGCTATATTTTTTAGTATATTTAATTTCAGGCAAGCAACAGCTAGAGCTAAAAAAAATTAAACAGGTGAAAAAAGTTTACTACGAAAATTAGTAGTACTTTGCCTTAATAGTATAAATGGATTTAGTTTATTTTTAGTTTCTCTTTAGAGCTATGTTACTAATACTTACTAAAGGAGTTAACACTTGTATATCTCTACAATATACACTTATGTTTCTGTTTAAATTCTCTACATAGGATATATCTCTATTTTCACTTCCGTTAAATTTGGCGCTTGGATGCATCATGTTTACGGTAACCAAGATATCTGAAACACCAAGAAAACATCTTCGATTCTTTAAATAACATTTTAAAATAAAAAAAAATATTAGTGGATTTTTATTAATTTACTAATATTTATGTACTTTAACCATTCCAACTAAGCTTTAGGCTTGTGCTAGGCTATGGTTCACAATAGTCCAAATGTCGGAATTCGAACCCTCGACTGCAAGATCGGTAGTCCGTGCCACAATCTATTAGGCTAATGGCGCTATAATGAACAAAAAGGTTGAAAATGTTGTTTATTCTTAAGTAAGTCCGAAGATAATGTCAAATCTATAAACAGCTATCTGTTTGACTTGACTCTTGACTTAATCTGTTTATTAAAACAGCGTTAAAAATGTAATCAAACGAAATTACTAAAAATTAAACACCGATAAGACTTTGTTTTGTAATTTCATTTTTTACTCTACTTTTCCTTGTTTTATAAGGTTTAGATCAAACGAGCCGTTTTTTTTTTTATATGAGTAGAGGGCAA